GTGGTTAACACTTATTTATCGATCAGTGCGTCCGTCGTGACGGCATTCGCAACCTCCTTCCTGGTCTCGCACGAGAGAAAGGTGGAAATGGTGGGTATTCATGTCTTGTTTTCGGTCCCAAATTATCCTATACAGTGATACTTCAATCAATAATCTCACGTTTACGTGATAATAGATCGCCCATTTCCAGAAAAAAATATTTGCGCTGAAAAACTCTGGCGCTACTTGCGATATTAAGCACACGAAAGAAATATGAGTAGTACGTGTGATCATTAGGATGATGAGGAGATTTAAATGGAGGGTTGAATGAGGAAAATAAAAATCCAGTTTTCTAGAAAAAAAATACGCTGGATTTTTTCCCGCAACGAGTTTTCATGGTGTTCTGATGGTCAAGTCAGCAATAATGCTTGAAAATTTCATCAAGCTCACTGAACCTGTATTCCATTTGAATTTCTGCAAAATTAGGCAAGCCAAATAAGAGTATCATTTGATGCGTATTTTTGCCGCACTTTCCCCTCATCAATTTTCTGCGATATATGCGCATTATTGTACCCACAAAGGGAAGTTGCATACAATTTTCTCTCATTTAATCCAGGTTGATGAATATTGCAGAAGTTATAATTTTTTTTTAACTACGACTTTTCGTTTCATTTCCAAAAGCAATAAGTAAGTATTCAAGTATTTTAACACGCTCAGGAAGCGGTATTATAATTTTCGCGAGATGATTCACGCCACGGATTGAAATATATCCCACTTGGTGAATAACCTTTGAAATATTCTGAAAAATGTTGATTCCATAATATAGGAGCACGTGCAGAATTCGACTTTGGCGGGAGGAGTAGCGATTGGGGCGATCGCGGATCAATTGACGAATCCATTCGGGGCATTGATTGTAGGAAGTGTCATCGGGATAATCTCAGTGTGTGGATTCAAGTATTTCCGCGTGAGTACATATGTATACGTAACACGAGATCACGCATTTGGCCACAAAGTTCCGGCATGTTATAATGGAGGTTAAACGGACTTATTCGTCTTCTTCTGCGTCTTTCGGAACGTTCATTTCCTACAGCCTTGGCACGAGAACAACTTGGTCATACTTGACTCCTGCGGTGTGATGAACCTGCATGGCATCCCGGGATTCGTGTCTGCAATTGCCTCGATCGTCATCTACTTGGCTTATCCCAAGGCGACCTCGGAGTGAGCTCAATCTTTTCTTCCAAATTGCTGCCGGGTATAATTTACTTGTTATCCCCGTTACTTTGAAACGAAAGTGTAATGGAAGTTTTTAAACCGAGTCACGTCATGACCTGCCATCATCGAACGAATTCCTCATCATACAGTAGTATTTCGAATGACCTTAAATTTATCCGTGAAGCGGAATTACGAATTTCTTGCTCACATTTGTGAACTTTAAAGACGGAATAAATCTCATTCGCTGTGATTTGTGGGAAAAGAAATGATTATGAAACATTTTGGTTTGCTTATTTAAAATATTCTCCTCTTCTATAAATTTTAAAGAGAATAATACTGTATGTCTGTAATATATATCAGAGATGTTTAGCCCTTGCTTTGAACACCTTCCAAAAGTTTTAGTCGTTGCTGAAAATTGTTTGAATTTAAATAAATAATATCCTCGTTGGTTTCCGACTTTTGTCAGAACAGACGGCTGAAAAGTGTCGACTAATTATTTCGAAAACTTGAAAGCGAGCCTTCTTGAGAATGTACAATAATGCGATGGAATTTTTTTGATCAACAATTTGATCCAGGAATTTTATCTAGAAAGTCTCAGTCGCTGCTTCAACAATTTACACTAATAAAAAGAAAGAATTATGAAACTTTATTTTATTTTATTTGAAACATTCTCCTCTTCTAAGATAATAATATAGTCATAAAATATATCAGAGATGATTAGCACTTACTTCAAAAACCTTTCAAAAATTTTTAGTTGTTGCGGAAAATTCTTTTGAATTAAAAAATATGATGTCCTTGGCTACAGAATTTCGTCAAACACTAATGCTTAAAACGAGCCTTACATTGAGGAAGTAACGTGATGGTACTGTTTATTGGATCAACAATTTGATTTAAGCATTTCATTCCGAAAATTTCCATCGCTGATTCGAAATTGTATACTAAAAAGAAAGAATTATGAAACATTTTTCTTTGCTTATGTATGAGAGAATAATATGCCTGTAGCATACTGTATATCAGAGAGATGAGTAAAATTCCAGATCCTTATCCTCTGCTTTTCAGCTTCTCGTAGTATTCAATTTCTCACGTACTGTTTGAAATTTTCACGCGGAAACAGAGCGAGTCTTCGAAAATGATGCGTTAATAATACAAATTTGCATTTGGGAGATCTTCCGCAAAAAAAAATAACAATGTGGTCGACACTAGCGTCAGGTTATTTTTTGGATTTCAGCGCTTTTCCGGGATGAAGTGCGCATTTGTGCGTGAGCATTTCTAATGTAAATCCGCATCGCGCGAATATTTAATGCTTCCTGGATCCTCGCTGACGTTTTTTTCTTTCTTCTTTTCATTTCATCTGCATTTTCAAAACTCGAAGTTCGTCGAGCCAACCCATGGCCCAGTTGTATGCCATTCTCACAACTCTTGGTATTGCGACCGGTGGAGGCGTGATCACAGGTACTCCGATGAATAATTCAAGCCAAACCTACGCGCTTCACCTTCTTCGTCTGTGTTTTTCGTCCAGGCTGGCTTCTTACGATACGGAGCATGCGACGACTAGAGAATTTGACTTGGTACGAAGACAGCGAATACTTTGAAAATGCCTTGGACTCGGAAGGACTCACTCACGTCCCGAATGAACCCGAAGCAGCTAATCGAAACCAAAGCATTCAGATGAAAACTCGGTCAGATAATCATAAAGTTATCACTGTCTACTGAGGTTCTCTTTATTACGAGACAATGAGAGCATGTAGGCGAGGTTTTCTTTGCGCGAAGCCAAGAAGAAGAAGAAAAAGAAACTTAGCTCGAGATACGCACTTTTCTTTTGCACGATGTTTCCTAAATTCAAGCGCAAAGAAAACTGCAAAAAAATAGCTGCTGACTTTTGCCTATACGTGTGCAATGGTTAAAACCGAGGTTCAATTTTTCAGTGTTTTATGGTTCGAATGAAAATACAATTTTCTTGAGAACACTGCTTGTAATTAATTTATGAACGATTTTTTTTCCAGAATGGCATGCGGAAATATGAATCTAAAATATGGACAAACTAAGCGCATTTGCGAGATGGCACCTGTGAGTTGCTCTACAGAGGTTACAGATTATATTTCTCCGGATTCATTCCAAGTGAAATTAATGCCCAGATTTCCTAGCAGTGAGTTTTAATAAAATTATATAAGATAAGCATAGCAGAATACTGTATCACAAATTTGATATCATTCAAGATAAACTTCGAAAATATTTAAAAATCGAGAAATGTGATCTTAAAGTAGAGCACATTCGTTTTTATTGACAAAGCCATCCAGCTTCAGCTGCGTGCAAATGAACATCAGCTCGACAGTAAGCATTTTAAAACAGAAAATTATCCATTCAATCGCAGATAATATAATGGTGTGTTTGAAGACAATTTATGTTGTTTGTCCAAATTATAAAAAAGCTTGAAAATTCGCAAAAGGAAAACTTTGCACTCCATCAATCATAATTTTTCTAAATTTCCACATATACGAGTATCTAATAGAATACCCATTTTTAATGGAGAAATTAGTTTATACAGAAAGTACAGCAATTTTTCCAGGAATAATGAATTCCCGAAATTTTGGTTCACAATTTTTTCAAGAAGTGAAATAAAGATACTTTTCTTCCGAAAAAAAAAAATGAAAATTTCCCCATTTATCTTGCTGGTGTTTACCTGCTAATGCAGATATTACTGCTGATTTTAAATAATACCGAGTAGCTGAATACTTCTTATTTTCTGATGGAAACATATTTCTCGTATTTTTCTTGCGGAGAAATTTGGCAAAAAACTGTAGAAACTTTAGAAATCTTTGAAAAATTGATTTTCAAACTACAGTACTTGTTACATATAAATAAAAAGGATTCGCTAAAAAAAAGGAGCACTGAAACTCAGAAAATGACTCCGTGGATTTTTATTGAAGAAAAATCATCTCGTAAAAAAAATAGCAGGCACACATCGCAGTACTTTTGCACTATCATTCTGCAAACCTTTTTCCCCTTATTAGTGTTTAAAAAATTCTTTAAGCCGTTACACAAGTGGCTCGTTATAGAAAGGAAAGGCCATAAATTGGTTCAGGTGCTGGTCGAAGAAATTAATTGCATCTCTGAAACACAATATTCCTCTAAATTGTTATACACCTCCAATGTCATGCATTAGAAAAAATCTATTATATATGTCGCATTAGTCATTGCTGAACAATGACTGAAAGACGAAAAAATCCGCGAACTTCCCCGATTTTTATGTTTAGAGTAATTGCATGAAACGCAGCATCGTTCTGTCTAAAAAAAATTAAAACCGTGATCAGTCAATGAAGCAGTGAAATTGGGAAGCTTTGTCATATCAGCACTTGCAAATAATTTTCAGTCGGAAAAACCACTTGTGTGTGTCGCTTTACTTCAATGATGCTCCAGTTGCATAATCAGGGGCATGTTCTCATGACTATCCGAGCTCGGAATTTTTCTTTCATCAATTTTCACGCTGAACACAAACTTGTGGCGCAACTGGGGCCTCTCTTGGCCAATGTCATTTCATTATTTTCTTTCGAAATGAAGTTTTTCGCCTCGGGGTATCGTTCTGTATTAGGTCCTGTGAAATTCATTTTCAACCACTGCAGGCGAAATAAAGCCGGGAATGTTATCATTTAACTGTAGAGCGAAAAAGTTTTTTTAATAGCACATACGAAACACTTTTTAATGAAAAATGCATACTGATATTCAAATGTATTCATGGTCTAACAATTCAAATGAACAATTCACGCGAAAATTGGCTAAAATTGGTAGCCATTTGAGTTTAGTTTAAACTGTATTGACAAATAGTTTGAAGGAACATTTCTGTCGGCACCTGCGTGAAACAGTCATTAGGCTTTTTGTTTGAACTGTCTCATGAACTTTAATTCCGACGATTCCCTGGACTTCGTGAAAATTCACGCTGTGCCGAAATAATGCAACCGGTCAAAAGACTGCAAAATCATGTGGTAAAATACATTCCATGGTTTTCAATAGCAGGGGTTTCTCCGCAATTTTTTCGAATGATTTCTCTTCATCCACGCGATTACATTGTTTAAAACTCGCCTCCTTGCTATTGTGATTTGATTACGGCCTATCTTCAAGTATATCGATGATACTATAGTCGTTTCAGCGCATTTTTGGGTACATTATAAGCCTACAATTCCGTCAATGCGGTTGACACATATATACTGTATATAATCTATTCAAAAGAAAGATAGAGAAAATTCAAGTATATCGATGATACTATAGTCGTTTCAGCGCATTTTTGGGTACATTATAAGCCTACAATTCCGTCAATGCGGTTGACACATATATACTGTATATAATCTATTCAAAAGAAAGATAGAGAAAATTCTTGGAGAATTTTCAACTGTTTCGTCAGGTGAAACCAAAGCGAATTTTAATTACGGCATGCAAAGAATTGTTCGAACATAATCTCTTGTAATGAACTGGGGTCGAATGATTTTCAATAAGGATTGGTTCTAGTCTCTACTTGCACTCGCATGTGCGACCGACCTTCGAGAACTCCAATGATGATTATTAAATGTCCGAGATTCAAGTGTCGCCTGAGGCGGTTCTTGCCATTGGTGGGTTATTCGAGCCCAGGTGGGGTTTCCAGCAGCGACCCGAGGATTAGAAAATACACTCGCTCGCTTCAATGGTGGATTAATTTCATGACGCGTGAGAGAATTGGTCAATGCTTTACCTCATATAGTTATGTTCTTCAGGTGGTCAGCCAAGGTTTCATACGAAAACATGCCCATCTCATGGCGTGAAAATCGTTGGTTTAATCGTAAGAAACCGTGCGTGACGGCAAAAAAAAAAGCACACTTTCTCGACAAGATCCGAAATTTGCATCGGTAAAATCCCCGATTGTTGGTCGTTGCGGGTAAGCAATAAAAACCGAAGCGTGCGCCACAATAAAGGCAAAATCAAATGAAGTATTGGGAAGCGGTGGAAAGGAAATGCTGGGTACATATTAATTTTACGCGTGTAAAGAGGAAAATATGGTTTCGTTCGGGTTTTATACTGAGACGCAAGTGCTATTTTTCGTGATTTCTGCCAGCGCTGGAAATTCGCGAAAATGCGCGCCAGCTGCTGTTATGATGGCGTATGTGTACCGATTGACGAAAACTCTTGGTTCTTGTCTCGCTTCGGGTCGTCAATGAAGTTGGAAGTCGTTGAGGCTTCGGCGGTGTTTTGGCCCGAAGGCTTTTTCCCAGGGGAAAACGGAGCGGGTCTCCGCGGCATTTTTGCTGTTCCTGCCGTCCTTAATTATCCCGCCAGCGTTGGGACATCACGAATAATCTGGAGTAATCGCCGTGAAAAGTGAACCCTGTGCCGCGGCGAAGTTGCGTCACTGCGGGCGGAATTATTTCCGGATTTTTTTACGTCCTCCCTCCAGCAACCGTAATTATGTATTCCGCTTCTTGGAAAAAAAAGGAAGTCTTTGCGAAGAATCGGAGGAAATTTTCAAGTCCCGAGTGGAGATTGCACGTGCGAATTCCGACCAATTATGTAACAATTCGCCGGAGAATGAGGGAGCGCATGACCTCTTTTATAGACCGTCTCGAAATTGACAGACTAGAAGGTCTCTTTCAATTATCTGTTGCACACCTGCCAATGTTTATGTAATTTTTATTGGGTATCAATGTCTCAATTGCTTCAATGCTCCAAGGTTTATTTTTGCGGAAGAAATTATTCTACTTAGTCAACCCAAAATTTATTGGAGGAATAGGAAAAAGACAAATGCAAATAATTTACAAATGTGGCTTATTAAATCGTTAAAAAAATCACGCTTTTATTTCGGGAACTTTCCAGAGGCAGATTTTTCTGCGTAGTATTGAGAGCATGGTAGAAGTTTTTATTTTTTGTCGCAAAACTGTAGTATATTCTTTTTTCGGAACATGTAACGAAAGAAATCAACAGAAAATTCAAGTTCATTCCATCAGTCTCTCAGATATTATGGCATATTCTTCAAATCTATGACTGTATCGCAATTTTCGCGTGATTTTGTTGTTGATGTTAAATCAAATTCCTCTGAAAAATTGATAAATGCTCTCTCTATAATATGATACTGCTATATGATAAGCTATATGATACTGCATTTTATATCTGAATGAAATGTTCTGCGCAGCATCTACAGTATGCTTATAGACGTAAAGTGAAGTGATCTAAAGTAAAAATAAAATCGGAATTCGGAATTTTCAAAACCTTCATTTCTACACACAAAAAAGCAAGCTGATCCCGAAAAGCATGGCTGAAACACTGAACACTCGTTTCAACATTTGCAATTACTGTACTCTGTAACTAAAAAAAGATGAATGCATTAAATGAGAGATTTACAGCAGAATGGCATTACACAGATTATTATTGATCCTTATTGTCGAATTCCTCTGCATTTTAAACATTTCCCATTATTACCAAAGCTTCAACCCGGAAAACAATGAACTCACATCGCAAATATTGACAGCCGCTCATTTGTGGAAATTTTTTCCAAGACTTTAAATTCTCCAAATCACTCTACCGTACAAACATTCAAAATGCACAGGACGTGTCTGACAAACACTGAATTTCCATTCTTCTTCAGTCCTGTTGCACAATGCTTCGGACCAAAAGCTGAATAAGCGACGGGATCCTTGGGAATTTTTCGTTCCGCTGGAATGGTTCCTTGCATATCTTCTTCTTTGACAGGAACTGAAAAAAAGTATCATTTTCTTTTTGGATTATTTTGTTTAAATGAAACCGAGAACGTGGGAAGAAAGACACATTTTAGCGAAATAACGATTGTACAAACAGACCATCGTAAAGAAGATGGCCTCTTGACTTGAGTACAATGCAATGCAAACTAGCAGAAAACATTTGTTTGAAAAGTTTCCACGCCTTTGACAGTCTTTTCAAAATTACCTCTCTCGAGGAAAAAACAGAAAATCAAATAAAACACGTTTTGTT